GAAAACACACTGAAGAAATTCCACATGTAGTTTTAGATTCATTACACGCTGCCAAAGACCAGAGACTTAATTAGGAACTAATACATGTCTGATGTGTCTGCTTTTACTCTTCAGGTTACAGCATGCGAGCTCTGAACAGCATCCTACGCCAGGAAATCCTTCACAAACCCGTAGAAACACTGAAGCTGGCGATCCCGTCGGGGATCTACACACTACAGAACAACCTGCTGTACGTCGCTCTGTCCAACCTGGACGCGGCCACCTACCAGGTACAGCAGAGGGCGGCTCGGGTTGTGGCGGAAAATAACTCCGCACGACTCGCAGCGTGACTCAGTTTCACACTCACTGGAGCTGATGTGTCTCTTTGAGCCTTTTTCAATTAGCACATTGCTCTTGCTCATGGATTATTTTCCCACTTTGTCCCCACCAGGTGACGTACCAGCTGAAGATCCTGACCACGGCTCTGTTCTCAGTGTCCATGCTGGGCCGAAGGCTGGGCGTCTACCAGTGGCTCTCCTTGCTGATTCTAATGGCCGGAGTGGCTCTTGTGCAGGTCTGGTGCATCTTTATGCCTCTTTTATCTGCCTGTATGAATTAGATTAAGTTTTTCAGCAAACAGGAAACAGAATAAATTCAGTGTGGTGCCTCGTAATGAAAAATAATTAGAGATTGTTAGCACGTTGATACATTTTATAATTAACAGCTTTAAATGAAGCATTTTATTCCACTAATAATCAGTACAACAGCAAAGCGGTTGGACTGAGGCTGCCTCAGGATGCTACAATGCATAATAATGCTGCACCAGTGGGACTGATGCTAGTCTTTGCTGCTGATAGAGAACAGGACGAAGATGATAGATGCAAGTTAACAGATCTGTTGTGACCTGGCTCAAGATGGCCGCAACAAAAGGAGAGACACACCAAGTTTAAAAAATTAAAGCTTGTCTTTATTCACTTAAATTACACCAAATTAAAAACCAAACCAGTCTGGGGTTGTGAGAGTACATAGAGTCAGTGGTGTGTGTGTGTGTGTGTGTGTGTGTGAGATGTATGCTTGAATTATGTCTGTACAAGTGTTGTAAATGCACACGTCCTAAACAAAGACAACTAACCCATGACCAGGGAAGCAGAGTAGAGAAAGATTAGACTGCAATTAGCCCTTAAGTAACCCATGAACACACTGGGTGTCACAGGTGCTCCTGATTACCTCATTACAAGTTGATTACCTGATTACCAATAGACGAACTAGAACCACCCACAAGATGACCTCGTTATGACTGGTTATCAGTGGACTTTATATTTATACTCACTCTCCAAATGCACACAGATTGTAATGACACAAACTGTTCTCCTTGGTAGAAGGTTTTACTAATATCTTTTAGTTCTTTGTTTGAATATACTTCAAACCTATGTAATGGACTTCATCTGTTCAGTAAACTGAGAGATACAACAATCACTTCAGAGGAGAGCTGAGCAGAGAACTATTCAGTAACTCCTTTTGTTAGCTCCCTGTACCTTTTTATTCTGATTATCGACTGTGGAGCAGGAAACCAACAGAGGGGAATATTTGCTTGACTTGATCACATTCATAAGGCCAGATGGGCTCCTGTATTGAAATGACAGCCTTTAACTATCTTGTAACTTTGGATTAGCCACTTAGTCCAAACTTTGGTAGCCTTGAAACACTATGAAACGTTCCACCTGTCTTGATTGTGCTTTTAGATCCAAGAGGAAGAAGCATGTGTGCAATTCTGTGGGTGTCACTTTGTTTAATTAGGCATTTATTCATTGGAAGCGTGCCTGCTTCTTTGTTATATTGCTGTGATCGCTAGTCTCTAAAGAAAAGAAACCCTCTCAGCAGCAGTTAGTCAGTAATATAAAGGTTAAATAAATAATGAGGGCTAAGCTACATCGCTGAATAAATATTGGCCACCAGTGGTTATGAGAGATGTGTCACAAGAGGAATGACTGTTTTTGTATCACCTCCTCCTCCTCCTTGGCAAAACAAAGAAAATGCCAGTTAGTATTACAACCAATTTGAGGAATCCAGAACTGTTCTGTGAGTAACCAGGATGAGTGCAGGAACGTGACTGTGATTTATCCACGACACTTCCTGAAGACTATCAACGTCAAAAACATTCTTTTTGAAAACTGCGTCACCTAAAAACAAGAGCAAAAAAAAATCAGAATGAAAAGAATTCTTCAGCATTTACGCAGCTTCTCATTTTCACTCTTCATGTTCAAGGTTTGTGCTGCTGGTTTCCACTCAGCAGGGACTGTCACGGTGCAGACAGAGGAGGTGTAGAGGGCAAGGCAAAACGCACGTTGTTCCAAAACCTGAAAACTTATTGAAATTAACTTCACAAAACAATGCTTATCTCTGTCTTCTTTGGATAAAAACAGGAGCAGAAGTGCAGTAGAAACAATACATTTCTTACTCTGCACAACCAGAGATCGTCATCTTTTTTTTTCTTTTTTTTTGCATTAACACCCGTTTTCCTGCTTACTGCAGCACATAACACAAGAACTCACACTTAGCAATATTTTTACAACTCAGCAAAGCTGCGAAGATGCCTGAACTGCAGGTACACGGTGTTACGGATTCAGAGATTTGACTGTGAATCTTTGTAGAAGTTTCACCGGTACATGCTGTGTTTTGTTGTTTTGTTTGGTCCAAAACACACAGTACAGTTTTGGGATACAAACTTCTTGGTTGGAAAGCTGGTGCCTCTGATATTCCCTGTTTTAGAAATTCCTCACTGCATGTAGGCACTCTGTCTGAAATAAGAAATCATTTTTATATGACTCTTACGTCTGTCCCTTGAAGACGACCTCCGGTGAAACACCAGTTTTCCATAAGATGTTATTTATATGCTGGAACTATGAGTGAAATGACCAGTCAGCACCGTGGCGGAGCAGTCTTGCGATGACAGTCTCAAAAAAACAGATTCAGACTTCCGAAGTTTTATATGTAACAAACAAACATAAGTAAACAATCCTCTCAGCTTACAGTGTGGGACTTTCTGTATAATTTTTCTTCTTCAGAATCGGTTTCTTGATCGAACACATATGGCTGAATTACTAATTGTGAAACGTAAAGTAGGTTTGCAGTGTTGTAGGTGAGCTGGTGTGCTCAGGCTGCAGTGAGTGGAGAGAGAGAGAGAGGCAGGAACTATGTGGACCCACCCTTTTTGTTTTTCATCAGATATTTACATTTACTAAGGGATTGTTTTCATGGGGAAAAAAAACATAAATATATAACTTTGAGGGATTACTTGTTAGGTGATTAACAAACGACTGGAGAGAGACTGTAGTTAGCTTAGCATGAAGGCTGAGCAGAGGGAGGAAGAGGTAGCTTGGCTCTGTTTCACAGATCTGCTTACCAACATCTGTAAAGCAAGCCAATCATTTTTTATTTCAAAGATTTTTTTGTCTTTATTGTAGGTTTTGTAGGTTCTGCAGTGACCCAGGTAAGGACCTTGTACATGGTGCATGCTTACTTTACTGGGTGACCTCGTGGTACCCGGTATCTTGTTCATATAATCTGTACAAAAACTGTCAGAACAACTTACCATGTTTCGGAGCTTTATCCCTGTGGGAATGTTTTTGAAGACCACCTGTTTTATCGTGTTTGGGTCCCCCCTGATGTTGCCAAAACTGCTCTGAATCGAGGGAAACGTGGTCAGGGGACCTCTGGGGATCTTCTGCGGTGTCTGGCTCTGGAATGTTGGCAGCAGACTCTTTGGGTTTCTGGGTTTCTGGGTGGGTCGTCAGGGGATCAGGCTGCTTCTAGCACATCCCACAGATGCTCTGTCAGATCGGGATCTGTGGAGTTAGGAGGCCGGGTCACCATCACGGGCTCTTGGTTGTGTTCCTCGAGCTTTTCTTGAGCGGTTTATGACGTATGGTAGGGTGTGTTGTCCTGTTGGAGAAGGATACTGCTGTCACCCAACGGTGTATAGGTGGGTGGTGCATCCATCCAAGTAGTATTCGCATGAACTCCAGGATCCAAGATTTCCCAGTAGAACACTGCATTGTGAAGAGATGACCAATGATGTTGCCTGTTTTCATATTTTGGCTGATCGGTGTTTAGCCTACAGTAGCAGGTTTTGTTTTTATCTCATTTCATGAAGCATTTTCTATTGTACATTCTTTCTCAAATATTTAATAACTTTGTTAACTCAGACATTTAACTTAAGTAAATCTAAATCACATATTTAGGAAACATTAGTCTGACTAACCAGATGTAGACTGTGGGTATAAACCCATAGACTATATAAAAGATGGACGTAGCAGAACAGACAGGCTAAGCAAGTCTGGGACAAAGCTGCTCTCACTTGTTTTATCACCTGTTTCCAAGGTCAGCATTTATTAAAATCCAAAGTTTTGTTTTCACAGTGGCCCTCTGAGTCCGCCGTGACCCCGGAGAAGGAGGCCCCGTCTGCAGGCTCCCAGTTTGTGGGTGTCACAGCGGTTCTGGTGGCCTGCTGCTCCAGTGGGTTCGCCGGCGTCTACTTTGAGAAGATCCTGAAGGAGAGCAAACAGAGCGTCTGGGTCCGCAACATCCAGCTGGGTGAGTGTGCATGAACAGTGAACCAGTTACTCCTACATGTAAAACGTACGTCAGTACAGTTAAAAGTTATGTTTCAAGTTGAAACTATTTGTGAAATTAAATTAAGGTGGCGCGTCACCGGAGAATAATGATGTGAGATGTTGTTGCTGGAAACAGATTGATAAAGGCACCTCCTCCTTGTTTCTGAAGCGAGTTTGTGTCCTCTCCTCTCTGCACAGCGAGCCAGCTGGGCTTTTTAAGCCTCCGATATGTTTCTGTTAAGATGAATGTTCCTGTCTAGTTTATTTTTACCCTGGAACGTGTGAGGCATGTGTTAAGTCTCCTGCGATTCCTGCTGTGAGCTCAGAGCTTTTTCACCTGCATTAAATGTTGAGGCCCAGATCTGCACCAAGAACCCTGAAGAAAATGCAGCGGATTCTTTTTGTTTGTAGTCGTAAAAAGGGAAGGAAATTAAGATTTGGTGCCAAAATGGTTCATTGCTTAATTAACTAAGAGTTTTGATCATGTAATTGTTCTCAAATATTTAGTTCTTTTATAAGATTTTGATGTATTTTTGGGTAATTGCAAAGCCAAGCAATCTGATGCTTTTTCTTAACAATAAGTGGAAAAAATAATTGACAAATTAATGGCAATTCAAAATAATTGTGAATTAATACTCTATTTGAGAATGAGGAGCGGAAACAGATGAATTATGTGGCTGACTCAGCTTCTCTCTTTAAATGAACGGTTGTGTTTTGATCTTCAGCTCACTCTGACATGTTGTTATGAGACAAGTTGTTTTAACATTTATTAGCTGACTTTCACTGTCTTGAATTAACATTACAGATATCTGACTCATTGTTATCAGTCAGAATAATATTGTTTAGTCATGATGTTGATGCAATATATCAATCTGACCAGTCAAAGCAGCAGCAGCGATATCTGTCCTCCAGTTTGTAAAAGATTAAAAAAAATAGTTGCAGACATGTAAAATCTCGTGACTATGAGGCTTCTCTTCAAAACTTTTAAACCATGTTAGTAGAATAATGGTGGATGAGAGTGCTAGAAAACGCAGTGAAATGGGAAGAGCTCATCAGCGAGGAGTTTGTGGAGAAGCACATCCATGTCCATTAGTTACTTGTGGTTGAAATTTACGACGGGCTGCTCTGACGTGGTGGTGAAATGGTTTGTTATATGAAGTGCCACAGTGTGTTTGAAAGACAAGCTGCCCCGCCTTCACTTCTCCCTCGCTGTTCCTGACAAATATCTGCGACATCATTCAAACCTCAAAATCAAGATTATCTGTAATTACATTTCACTTTAAGATATCTACATTTAATTTTAGATATCTAAAAACAGCAATGTCGATATCTTGCATTAAGGGGAATTAAAGATATCTGGAACTAGAGTTATGACAAGTCAGACTTAAACTGTAGATAACTCAAACTAATCCTACATCAGCTGCAGATATCTGTAATAAGAAATCCCATAGACACGAATGCTAAAAGTCATTGTGGAAATCTGAGATGTTGCTTTTGATTCAGAAGAATACATATCCAGTGGAGCTAATAAATGGTTTTCCGTGTCTGTTTCAGGGATGTTTGGCTTCGTGTTCGGCCTCTTCGGGATGCTGGCCTACGACGGCGAGCGGGTGAGGGAGTCGGGAATGTTTCAGGGATACAACACAGTCACCTGGACCGTTGTCGCGCTGCAGGTAACGCTCCCTCCGCCGCCAGTGATTCGACTCGTGTTCCCCACCAACACTGTCGCATACATCGCAACAGACGGCAACAGACTGTTTAGTTTTGTGGCTCAGATTCCCCGCTGGCCCCTGCAGGTCGTGCCTTTGTCCATCTGTGTCTGTGTGTTTGTTGTTTCTCCAGGCGCTGGGTGGTCTGGTCATAGCGGCGGTCATCAAGTATGCAGACAACATCCTCAAGGGCTTCGCTACATCGCTCTCCATCATCCTGTCCACTCTCATATCCTACTTCTGGCTGCAGGACTTCGACCCCACTGGGTAGACAAAACTGTCACTGTCTTCTTCTTTTTTTTTTTTCCTCTCTCTCTCTTTCTCACAATCTCTCAAGCTGATCGTTTTTTCTGCTGTCGTCCACAGCGTTTTCTTCGTGGGAGCCATTTTGGTCATCGTGGCCACTTTCCTGTACGGCTACGAAGGCAAGCCTACCCCCAACCCCAGCAGGGCGTAGGACACTCGCGGCCGACGCTACGGCGGCAGTAGGAGGTCCTGCTGAAGACTTGGAGGGGAAAGGAGGACAGAGAACTGGAGAAAAAGAAGGTGAAAGGTCTTCACCGTATAGAGATCACATTTAAAAAAAAAAAAAAAACGGAGGAGCAGAGGAATAGGAAGAGAGGAGGTAAGCAGGCTGGGAACGGAGGACGGTTAAAAAAGAAAAAAAAGCGAGCACAATGCTGCGATGGATCTCACCTCAAGTGCCTCAGCTGAGAAGGAAAAAGCAATGAGAAAAGAAAACAGGATTGTGTGTTTTTCTTTTCTTCTGTTATTACCACTGTAGAGATAATCCTGGCTGCCACACCTCCAGAGATATTCACCGACTGATTGTGTTCATTAGGAACTAGTTTGACTGCCAGTCACTGTTACTGCCGCATCAATCACATCCATACAACGAAGGATTACAGAACCCAACGCACGGTTGGAGCTTCTAAATCCTCTTCAAAGCCACATTTTTTTCAGATATAGTGTAACTGTAGTCTGAACTGTTGTCTTGTTCACCTCAGAGTTGCAGTATTTAATGCTCTGACAGTCTTTCTTGTCCCATTTTGGCCATTTAAAGCACATTTTAGGGCCTTTAATGAGCTCTCCCAGACAATTTTGCTCTAAAGCTGCGTACAAAACAGCTTCAACAGTCAAATAATTCTGATTGAAAGCGATCTGGTTTGGCGCTGTGGCTCCATTCTGCCACAGAGCTGGGATTTGTACACAACTTTAGAGGCCTTTCTGCCTGGGAGGGAGGCGCAGTTCGGGGCAAATAAGGTGAAGCTTTAGGCTACGGTAGTTGCAGTGATCATAACTTGTATTGTTTCCTAAATTATGGTCCTCATGTTTCAGTTTGTTCAGCTGTTTTTGTTGCCGAGCAACATACAGTCCCTGTGGCGTGTCCGACTACGTATACGGCATCAGCTCACTGTTCGACTGCTGGAGCTGCGAAGGTTCGACTGTAATCTGAGTGTTTGAATAAAATAAATGAATCTGACACTTGAGAAATATTGTTTGTTGCTGTAACAACTGGTGATTATTTAAAGATACTGATTTGTTGTTTTTTTTGTTTAAGCTGAGAAGTTGATTACATGTAAGATAATTTTGTACAACCTCGGATCACGTTAGGTGTAAATAATAGCACCATTTAAAGTGTGTTCTATAAATCTAAATGAACTGTCTGTTTAACTTATTCATTCAGTAATTAGGCTGCAGCTTACATTACTTTCTCAAAGCCACTGGTGATGGTCGACATCCACCTCCTTGTGTCCTGTGCTTGTGTAGCGATATATTCTGTTGATTTTTTTTGTGGCAATCGAAAATCTCCTGAATGTGGCCCCGCGGTGTCTGGAACTGACTGAATTGTTGATTACGTCAGACATCTGCGAGGCCGTGTTTACTTAGGAAGCAACCTTGGACTGTATGATTTGACTGGTGTTTTTCTTCTGGAGCGACTTCTTTCCTGGGATGAAGCGGGTATAATGAATAACTTTTATTATTTTAATTACCAACATGTGAATCTTTTTATAAAGAAAAAAAATGTTTCCTTTAACTTTTGTCAATGTTTTATTGCGTATCTCCTCAATGATTTTTCAACCTTACAAGCCACATACGTACATTTTGTACTCACTCTGGAGTGGATGTGAATTGAAATTAGCACAGTTCGACGTCTACTTTGACTTTGATTGTCCATATGGTGGTTTTTATATGCTGGACGACTCATCATAGGCGAAATAAGCAGTCACAGCTAATCCATCCATCCGTTGTCTTCCACTTATCTGGTGTTGGGTCAGCTGGCTAAGCAGAACCTTCCAGACCTCTCTCTTCCCAGCAGTGTTCTCCAGCTCCTCCTGGAGGAAGGTGTTCCCAGGCCAGATGAGATATAGAATCCCTCCAGCGAGTTCAGACAGTCTCCTCCCAGTTGCCTGGAAAACCTCCAGGAAGCATCAAGCCAGATGTCCGAATCATCCTCAGCTGACTCCACTCATCGCGAAGATGCAGCACTCTGAGCTCCTCATCCTGACTCCAAGGTAGAACCCATCCACCATATGGAGCAGATGTAAAAGCATTCCCCTGATGGCTCTCCATCCTGTTTGCCTCCATCACTCTTGACGCTCGTAGCCCATCACAGCACTACATTACAAATCGCTCACCGTTTGTTCCAATAAAAGCAAAAAAAAGTTGCACCTTTTTTTACTTTAACCAGCGTGAATAAAGCTGGAGCTCCACAGGTTTGCTTGGATCCTTCTAAAAATACATATTTTATGATGTGAGCGGGAGATAAGGTGACGCTCTGGCTTTTTAAACAATCCACTCGTTGCTCTGTTCCTTTGCTCGCTCTCACCACTCGTTCATGCTCGAACAGGAAGCTCAGTTTGGCTGCAGTGAACTGATGATGGTTTAACAAAGATTCAGGCTTCGTATGTAACAAAACTAACAGTCCTGTCAACTTGCAGGATGGGCTTTTTGGGGTTTTTTTCCTCCACATGTTACAGCTAAATTATCCCATTATTGCACTTGTGTAGCCCAGAGTTGTAGGCGAGCTGGTGTGCTCCAGCTGCAGTGAGCAGAGAGAGGAGCAGGGGCGTCTCTTCCTGCTCTCAACGAAGGCGGACGCTTTTCCTCTCGCTCCCTCCCTTGCCATTATCTGCCCGGCTTGCTGCTCTTTGTCTTGTGCCGTCACTGTCTGAATCTATCAGAGCCTCTCTCTGCATTTCTCTCCAAAACCTGAAACCATGGGTTTGATCAGATGGTCTTTCAACGCAATTGATCAGATTTTTCTCGACGAGCAACTGGACAAAGGAGAGCTGGCCTGCCCTAAAGGGACGTTTGCAGCGGGTTACACGATGGACGGTTGGCTGGAGTGGAGGGTCGTGTGTCTCTCTACACTTTACGTGGAGAACGTTGAAGACGTCTACCTAATTGGGATCATGATAACAGGCTTCCTGCTGATTGGAGTTTGCGGGTTCCTGCTTTACCGCAAATTTCGGAAGACGGAGGCAGCACTTTCGGCAATTGAGAAGCTGCCCGTTATTGAGGGAATGGTTCGGGCTGACAACTGTCAGACTCAAGCGATATGCGAACAAAACCACCAACTGGATGGGATTCCAGAACTGATTCGCAACTTGGAGCAGTTCAACAGACCGATCCGGATGTAGCGGGCCTTCAAATTCGGCTTTTTGGATCACACAGAGAACCAGTGGGACTTTAAGACTGACGGTAAATTGCAGAGTCGTCCTGACCCAAAACAATCTTCGTTATCTTCATTCGGCTCCCCCGCTTCGGCCTTGGAAGGCTGATATCGCTACACTTCTCCTGGATGTTATGCAGACCGATGCTCCCTCCTCCTTCTCCTGTGAACTTTGTCTCTGGATCAGAACTCTTCGAGGTCGTCTCCACGGCAACGCCCGTGTCTCGTCACCAGCATCAGACGGCAGAGACGATGTTGAGTCTGGGCGGCGATGAAGTCCACGGGCTTACATGAAGACACACCCCCTGGACTCGACACCTGGTTGGCTCCCCACCTCCTCTCCCTCCCCCCATCACAGGGCAGGATGCTGCCGGCTGGTGCGCCTCATGGCTCCCCCCTAGTGTCTGAGCTGTGACACCTCCCCTCCCAACACACCTCCCCCCTCGAGGGTTTTTTTTCCTAATCCCACACTGTGCCCCCCTTAGAGGAGCCTAGTTTGGGAATTGCCTTTTCCCCCCTCGTTTTTCCCTCTTGTTTCCTTTTCTAATTATAAGCGGCGCTGCTCATGCTGGATGAAATTCTCCCTCCTGTCTCCCCCTGTTATTGGTCGCTGCCTTTTTATGTTTCTTGGACGGAATGTAACTGTAAAGTCGTTGCTCTGTGACATGTGCAATGAGAATAAAGTTCTGATTGATTGATCCATAGATTGAAAAAAGTTTCTAAATCTGTAACTTTGCTGCACATAGATGAGTTTTAAGCGGTTAAACCAACAACCAGAGAGGAGCTTTAACACAGTGAGCCTACATAAAACACAAATAAAGTCACACTTCTTTTTATCTTTTTTGGCATTTGTTTTAATGAGTTTTAAAAACACTGCATGCAAAAGCCAGACAGTCTGAGAGAAAGGACTGTAACACGGCACAGTTCCATGTCCTTCATGTTATAACACTGTAAAACACCCAGGCGTGTTTTTTCTTTCTGTTTTTCTTTTTTTTTTTTTAGTTAAAACAATCACTGCATTAGACTCAAGGCAATCAGCAGAACGAGTAGGAATTAACAACTCCTGGTGAAGGGCCGTGCACTGCTCCTGCCCTCCAGTCCTCAGGCACAGCTGTTACTGTAAAAAGACACTTGAGGCCCTGATACACATAGACGGAGACCGCGTGACCTCATGGCCCAGTACAAATGTATTCATTAACACTTTGTTTTTGTTTTTTTACTCAGGGCAACATGTGAAAAAAAACTTTATGCTTCGTCTGGCGCTATAAAAGCCTCGATCTCTCTTTGAACGAAACCCATCACTACGACTCGACTCTCCGGATGAAAGTGCTGCTCGAGATGTTTCCCTTTTGATTGTCAGTGTGGACCAACTGCTCCTGTGTCGTGGCTACAATAGGCATGTTGTTCAGATATCCGCTTTTCCCGTGTGATCGGTGTGTGTGTGTTTTTTTTTTTTTTACGGGCTCAGCAGTCCTTTCCCGGCGATCGTGGCTCTAGATGAGGTGTGAAGGCTCGATCGGTTTGCACCAAGAGTTAATGAGCAGCATGGGTAGAGATATAACGTGGTTACATCATCCATCTCTCTTCATCTCTGTCTCTGGACCAGCTCAGCACGTCAGTGTGAGCTCATTTATATTGACTTTATATATATATATGTGTGTCTGTGTGTCGGCTCACTATGTGCTGAGGCTGCTGTGTGAACATTTAGACCTGCCTGGAAAACAAAAGGCCACACTTCCTCTAAAACATGATTGTGAAATGCTCATATTCTCTAAACCCGAGTTTCCATTTTCAGGGAATTTTCATTAATAAAAGCTCTTAATGGCACAAGCAACGTCGTGTGTCTCTGTTTAAAGCAAATGCGGCACCAATCTTTAGGAGTTTTCGTGGGATTTTTGGGAGTTTTTACTGAATTGTCTCATCAACTAGTGAATGGATTGTCATGAAATCTGGAGCAGATGTTCATGAGAGGCTGAATTAGAATGACTTTGGTGATCAGCAGACTTTTCATGTCCAATACTGGCTGATGGAACAAACTCCCATCAGCCTCAGCTCTACTTAGAATGAATGAATTAACATTAGTGTGCTAAAGAAAGATAATAAACATGTTAAATTTTATACCTGCTACATGAGCATGTTGTCGTTGCTACTGCACTGTAAAAAAAAAAAAAAGAGAGAGAAAGAGAGGAAATCTGGCGGCAAGAGCACCAGAAAAAACTATTTTTTTTAAACTAAAGGAATACTGTAAAGTCCAAAAATTGTGAAAATAGCAACAAATATCTGGATATAATAGCTGATTTACATACAGTGTGATGCTGTTGTCACACGTTGTAAAGGAACAAATTACTGTTTTGAACATTATGTACAGTTTTGTTGTTTACACTCAACATGTAAATAATTTAAATAATCATTTGTTTCTGTGATTTTACACGATAATATCTGTCATTTAACAAAAACAGTTATAAATCTGTTAAGTGAATAATGCTTTACAATTTTTCAATCCTTAATATACACGTTTTTTTTTCTTTTTAAATAGTGACAAAGACCTGAAAAATAATACTTTTGGATGATTTAAATACAGTAAAAGGTAGTGTTGTTTTACAGCCAAGAGGTTAAATGAGACTGGGGGAAAAATATTGTGTTAAAAAAAGGCAAAAATTTGCCAGTTTAATACTTTAATGTTTAAAACTTCTGAAAATAACGGCACACGTCTGCAAAATAATGCCTGTTTAGCTAATTTAAGCACAGTAAACTTTATAATTGTATAATCACACGTTATAAAAGATACAGATTTTTGATGCTATTTACAATTTTAGCCATTTTTATTTTATTTTTTACAGTCACATAAATTAATACTTTTCTCTGTCATTTTTTAAAATAGCAGTTTAATTTTTATTTTTTTTTCCAGATTTAAATCTGTAGGACGTCGTGTAATTTTAGGGCCAAATGTAAATGAAAGAATCACTTTTACACAGATCTTTGAAATTCACATTATTTACATTTTTTTAGGGCGAACATAAATTATTATTTTTTTCTCTCTCTTTAAAATAAATAAAAAAAATAATAGCTATAATTTACCAAGATAGGGATCATTTGTAACCCAACTGCAAATTGTTTAAAAAAATAAATTAAAAAAAAAGTTAAAAACTGCTAAAAAATAAATTTAAAAAATTTCCAGTAGCATTTAGCTCAAAGTCTTGTTTTTTTTTTTTTTTTTAAAGCTGTGATCACTAAAGACATTTCATTCATCTCCAATTTTATTGATTGAGGAGCAAAAATCTCCAATTTTTCAGGTCAATAACATCTGCATCACTACCACTAGAGGTAACTGAAGAGCTTTGTCCTTTTTTTTTTATAATTTACTTGAACTCGTCCTACAAGTCCTTTAAGTATAATTTAAAGCCATTTTGTCATACGTTTGTCCTCTTTGACTCGCTTTTCTATGTCATAAAATAACAAAGCACTTCTTCGCCTCACACATCCGATGAGATGGGTCATGAGAGAGACAAAACCATGTCGTTATGATAGAAGGCTGTCGTCAACACAGGCATCTCTGGCTTTCAGAAGGCAGGCAGGGAGGGAGAAGCGCTGCAGCTCGGCTGAACTGGCCATTGGAGGTTGGGAGAAAGAAAAACTAAAAAAAAAAAAACCCGCTGCAGGGCTTCGTTTATGTCTGTGTGTGTGTAGCTAGAACACTTCCTGTGATTAAAACAAAAGTAGCTCTGAGGATGCGTGTATGCTGACAATCTTTACACTGTATCACAAATGAGGCCCCTGGTGTGTGTGTGTGAGGAGTGTGTGTGAGGCAGTCTGGTGTGACACAGCAGCAAGCCTGGATCCGACCCCGGGGCTCCGATATACAAAACACACAACCACAAACACATCTGCACACCCACACTCACATCATCCGGCTGATAGTTATCCCCCGTCCGTAATGAACGAATCCTCGTCGGAGCTGCACCTTTAAACCCTCAAACAGCACTTTAGTGTACAGTACAGAGCAGGCCATCGTTAAGGCTGAAAAACCTTTTTTTGTTTTTTTTTTTAAAGTCTGTCTTTAGGCTTGATCGCTTCTTTCCGGGCCTGAGTAGCTACAGTACAGGTTCAAAGTTACCCGGCGCTGGGTCGGAGTGAAGGCCTGCACTCCCGATAGCTCAGCAGCACCAGAGGCTAACATACTTTCTGGATCGTCGAAGGCAGCAATGGGGAATTTAAGGCAGTTGTCCCCTCAAGATTTTACAACTCTGATTCGTGCCATCAACAGTTAACACAAGCCTGCTCAGAGATCTCCATGTGTCTGCTTTCATCTGATTATCCTGTGGCCCACCGTGATATGATTTCAGATTAAACGGCCAATCAGATGCTCCCCGCGTTCTACTTGGGCGGTATGACGACGAGCGGCGGGCCTCTCCTCGGCCTCCACATCAGAACCTGGGCGTCGTTGGCGTTGGGCCTCCCCATGGCGTTGGGAGGGATGGGCTCCATGCGGGTCAGCACCCTGGGCTGGTCCTGGTGCACCCGGCCCAGCAGCCGAGCCCTGGAGCCCAGAGGCAGGGACGGGTCCACGGCGATGTCCACCCTCATCCTCCACTTGATGGTGTGGAGGAGGATCTTTTCCCTGGACGTGGTGTTGAGCGCCACCAGCCACGTGGTGAAGCTCTGGTCCCTTTTGATGTTAGTCAGTAAGGGCGTGTTGGATTCGCTGACCGGCACCGCCCAGGTGACGCTGGGGTAGAAATTGTCATTCATGCTGACGACGAAGCGGGACGGTTTGGACGTGGGGCCGACGATGGTGACCGTCTCGGTCGTGTTTCCGTACCAGGGGTAGCTCACGCCGTCTGAGTCGCTGATGGCCCTCACCAGACCTTCTCTGAGCTGAGGAAGCTCCCAGCTGGACCTGCAGGGAGACGGACGGGGTTAGAGGGAAACAAAAACACCTCTGGGTGACTGTAGCAGCATTCAGAGGATCTGTGGGATTCTCTGTTTCTGTCTGTCAACAAAACCACGAATGTGTGTGTTGAAGTCAGCTGGAGTGAAAGAGCTCTAAAATAATAAAATAACTAAATCTTTTTTTTTCTTCTTTTAAATAATTTACAGTAATTGTACAAATTGTCCCTGTTTTGCTAAATTACAGATAATGACAAGTAAAATCACAAAAAAGTACTAATTTGCACATTTGTTACCTTTTAAAAACCCTCAAAACTAACTGAACTAAAATTAAAAACCACATCCATGACTGTAATTTTTTTTTTTCTTAATTTACAGATAATAACAGGTAGCATCACAGGAAAAAAACAGATAATTAAATCTAATTTATATATATTTTTTTTTAATTTATTTTTTTTAACAGATGGGCCACGTTTTGTTAAATGACAGATAATAACGAGTAAAATCACAGAAAAAAAGGATTAATTTGCATGTTACCTTAAAAAAAAAAAAACTCAAAACAAACTAAAATAAAATAAAAACCATCCAAAGTCTGTCTAACCTTTGACTGTAATTTAAAAAAAAAAAAAAAAATAATAATAATAATTTAAAAAATTACAGATAATAACAGGCAACATCACAGAAAAAAGGGATGATTTAATTTTTTTAAAAAAGTTTAAAAATGTAACTAATGTCCACAAATCACCATTTTTACATGTGATAATTCTGTCTATTGCAACTTTTGACCCTAACATCACACTCTCCTGTATTCAAATTAAAATTTGTAAAAAAAAAAAATTTAAAAACAAAAATTAAAGAAAAAAAAAGAGATACCTTTTGTTGTTGTTTTTTAAAATTATTTTTTATTTTTTTATTGTTTAACAGATGGACGGTGTTTGGTTAAATTGTAAAATAATAACAAGTAAAATTGTAAAAATAAATAAATAAAAGTATTAATTTACATATTAATTATTTTAAAAAAACAGGCCAAAGCTGTGCATAATGTCCACACCAATGTCAAACTGTATCAACTAAAAATATCCTTTTACAGATATTTATTGTTTCTTTAAACATTTTTATAGTTGTTGAACGTGACAGTAGTTTTGTTTCCATGTGTTTTTTTTCTTTTCTTCCTGCAGATCTCCACCATATTTTCCACTCTGCTGAACTCGTGTGCTCTATACCTTCTTATCTGGATGATCAGCTAACATACCAGGCCGTCCTGGCATCGCTCTCCTCTTTATGTTGCAGCTCATGAGAGAGATCGTATTACACCTCGGCCTGATTCATCATTTTCCTCTGTGTCATAGATCTTCACTTTACTAAAAACACACCAACGTGAGGCGCGCTGTTGCACTGCTGTCATAAAAACTCACTTAAAGCACCAGAACCACAGCTGAGAACAGATTTCAACACACGAACGTCTCAGCTGATGCACTCAAGAACAATCATTCTGTGATATGTTGGTGGTGGGAGGGACTTTTATATTTGGAGACGGGGTTTGCCGGCATACTGATGAGTCCAAGGGGTGGAAAGTTGTACGTTTTTATCCAGACGCACACATATGATGCACTGAGCAACACTTCTCGACTCTTCCATAAAGTTAGATGGCACCACTGCATGTCACTAATGTCTTTTCTCTCCTGTAGTTTGTGTTTTGTTCTCTCTGCAAGCTTCTGATGTGCAGCGTTTAGCCTTCAGAGATGGCAAAAGTACTCTTTACTTAAGCAGAAGAAGAGATACTCTGATAAAAGTAGAAGCACTGATTCATCTCTTTTACTCAAGTAAAAGTAAAAAAAGGTTCGGAAATTTACTTCAGTACAAAAGCAAAAATGAATCTTTAGCTTTGATGATGCCTCTTTAAAAAAGTTTGAAGCACACAACATAGGATTGTTTTCATCCTTTAAGAAGCTGCTACAGAGAGAAACATCACTGGACAGGTTCCCATTTCATTATAAACATTATCATCAACATGGAAACACTCGTCTCTTCAAGACTACCAACATCTGTTATTGAGCCTCAGTAGAAGCTGGTTGTCAAAGTTCTCTTTTGGGTCTGAACATCAGTCCTGCAGAGCTAAAGGGCCTCTGGCAGGCAGCTGAGGCCGGCAGGGATGTGTTGAGCTGCAGTGACGAAAGATAAAGACGTTTGTTGTTGCATCTTTTACGTCATCCGCAGAGGTTGAAACGAGAAACGAGCCAGTTTAGAGAATGTGAGGAGGAGAAAGTCCAGATATTTGTGTTCAAATGTAGGAAGTAGAAAGTCGTCAGAAAAATTAATGCTCCAGTAAAGATACCTGCAGATAACAAAGTATTTGCACTCTTGAGTCCAAACCAGGATTAAATAATTAAAGTCAGGTTTTCAGCTTGAGCTCAAGTGAAGCGATTTTGCACCATTTAGAGATGAAATGATCTTTTTAAAGTCATCTGTTTAGATCTGAATGAAGCGAAGGTTTGGAAAGAGTTCGCAGCAGAGTACAGGAAGTCTGTTATGGCTGTTTGTACTTGGTTACTTCCACCTCTGCTGGCCTCATGAGTTCTTATTGTTCTCTATCTACCTGCTGGACCCTTCAGCCTCACCCCAACGGGTCGAGGCAGACGGCCAGCCCTCCCTGGACCAGGTTCTGCTGGAGGTTTCCTCCAGTTAAAGGGGAGTTGTGTTTGTTTTGTTGGTCTTCTCTGTATAAGTTTGTCTTCATCTCACTGTGCAAAGTGACGAATCGGTGCCACGAAACTGAACAAACTCACACTGAAGCAACAATAAGAGCTCGTACATCCTCAGTTTACCAGCAGATTATCATCATCATCATCTCTTTGTTGTCATCTGTCATCTGTTGCCCCCCACCCCACCCCAACACCACCACCATCCTTCCATCTATGTGCTCCTGATGAGCTTTAAACCCCATCCTGCCTGTCACCCCCCGACACCCACCCACCTCCAGCAAACCCTGCAGGATTAAACACCCCCTCACACTTCCACATCACATGTATGTGCTGTGAAGAGTAGAGGGGGGGGGGATTGTGGGGGAGGACATAATATATCCGTAGGCACAATTTGAGAGCAGCAGCAGCAGCAGCAACTGTTGTTTTAGCTCCTCTAATAGCAGCTTTTCTATTTAGGTGCCAGAGTCACAGGAACAGAATCTGTCGGTGGGCGGTTTGAATGAAGGAGGCTGACAAGCACAGTTAACCTGCTGCGTGCACAAATGCTCCTCAGTGTGATGCAAAACCACAAAAACACACACACATGATGATCACACAGGCATGCATTCACACACTTTCTCGCATGTGGAAGAGTCGCAGGTGTGAACTCACATGCCGACGTCTCCGTAGGTGTTGTAAAATTCCATCTGGGTGCACGCCTGGATCCAGCCCACCACCCAGGTCTCGTTGCGCGGAATGGGGGGCATCACAATCCGCGCGGACGCCTTGAAATAGGGCGTCTTGTACCGGAGCACGATGGGCGAGTTCTCCTCGATGACGGTCGGGCAGTGGTCGATGGTGGCGGACAGGTCGTACACCACGATGTTCTCCCGCTTGATGCGCGACTTGTTACAGGCGATGCTCTGGATGCAGCCCATGGCGGTGCAGGTGAAGGTGATGGTCAGCAGCAGCCAAGTGAGCCTGACGGGCCTGGGGAGGAGCGCAGCCGACCGGGACTCGACCAGGATCAACACTATGAGGCCGTGCATGAGACGGGAAAAGGCGAAAGGTGGGTTGCTACCACGCTTCAAGGCCCAAGATCAAGAATAAGGCTCCCCCAAGTTCGGGTCCCCCCCCCACCCCCCCTCCGCGCGCGCTCCGGGCTCTGACCCCGAGCTCTGACCTCACCCTGCAGCGGATTAATGGACTCTGGATGCAGGTGTGATCGCTGCTGCGCTCTCCTGCTTCCCGCAACCTTTGATCCTCGTCTTCCTGCCCCGAGCTGTCATGTCACGAGAGGCGTCGGGGGACCGGCGGACACCGGGGCGCCGGCAGGGGGACCCGGTGGTCGGGCGGCGGTGCTGCTTGTTGATGCGGCACTGCACATGAGATGCTGCTGCCGTTAACCGGAGCCTCAGAGTCCGTCATGCCGGTCCGCTCGACGGCAGGGAAGCCCGGTGAAACAGACGGAACCCGAGAATCCGAGCATCTGTGACGGGAAAAACATCCTCCTCCTCCGGCGGGGGTTCGAAGACGGACACGGACGCGCTGTTCCCGATCAAAGCGGCGAGCTGCAGATAATCCGGCCGCACACACTTGTTATGGAGCGATGAAACAATGGGCCTAAACGGAGGATCAGATAAACAGTGCCATAGTAACCGGGATGTGCAGCTACGGTGCGCGGCGGCATCCTCAGTCGGCGGAGCTGCGCGGCGGAGTGTCGCTGTTCAGCTGCGCGGTGCTGAAGCTGCTCAATGGACCAATGAGCGGCGGAGGGAGACCGGAGGCGGAGGAGAGTCTGTCGGTAGTAGCTCTGCGACCTCTCTCCTCCATGTTGGAATAAAGCTCTGTAATCCTACAAACAGCAAACACACACAGAGGCCAGATAAGCCCTCAGTGGAGGAAGCGTTAATCACTGTGTGTGCTCTAATCATCTATTATAGGTGTGATGAGGTTCACCGTCAGAAATATAACAACTGTTTTTGCTATATTGTTTTTTGGTTATTTAATTACAAATAATAACTTGTTCAATCACAAAAGAGAAAAAAGTTTCTTCTAAATGTGAAACCTAAAAAAAAAAAAAAAAAAAGGCCAAAAGTGTAAATGCAAAAATCTGTATTGTTACAAATAGTTTGACCATAAAATAAAACCTAATATTACATTAATTTTTGTTTAATAAATATTTTCCATGACTTGAAATATTAAAAAAAAAAACAACAACAAAAAAACGTATATTAAAGATTGACAAACGGGTTAAAAAAAAAACAAAAAAACCCAATTTACATATTTTCCCCATTGTGGTAAATTGCTATTTACATTTGGGGAGAACGTGTAAATAAAGTCTACGACTACCAAAAAAAAAGTATTTATTTTATTATTATTGTTATTATTATTGTTTAGAAAGAAAATATGCCTAATAATTTTATGTAATATAATCATCCTAACACTGTTCTTTTTTTTTGACCGATGTCTTAGATATTTCTTTGTTTTGGTAAATTATAGAAAATAACTAATACATTCACAGAAAAAAACTGTAATTTACATTTTGATTGTAAAATAAAATAAAAAAAAAAACCAACAGATCAAAACAGTAAGTAATGTTCACATCAACAATTTTTTATTTTTTACAGACAGCAATCTGTTCTTTTACAGTGTGTGACCATAAATTTTCATTAATTTAATGTATTTAAATTAGTTGAAAAATCTTTTTTTAAAATTTTTTTAAAAAAATTGTACTTTTTTTTTTGATTGTTTACAGATTTCTCATCAGTTGCACTGTTTCTTTATTTTAAATCGTTATAGTCTTCCACGGTTTGTTTGTTTTTTAAACATATTTTTATCTGTCACCTTTGCTGCCATTTTTTTTTTTCTTCATAGTGTATAATTGTAACAGAACTCAGCAGCAAGATTGCTCACCAACACTTGACACAGTGAACACAACTGGCTCCACATTTGGCACAGAATTCAGTTTGAAGATTGTCTTGATTACTTTAAATCTCTACATTGTCTGGCTCAGCTCAGCATCGCAGAACTTTTATCACCTTGTTCTGCACCGTGATCCCTCAGATCACTGAATCGATTACTGTTAAAGTCCCACAGTCCAGGATTACAACAAAGAGGAACATACGTTTTCTGCTTTAGCCTCAACACTCACAGTCTCCAGGGTCTCAATTAAAAGGGATTTGAAAACCAGACTTTAAGTATCTGAATAACATTTTAGCCCCTTTCTGATGTTTAGTTATTGCTCTTTTAAATCTTTCACCGTCTTTGCTAGCATGTTAATACCTTCTTTTATTGTTTTATTGTCACTTTCTAATGCTTTGTATACTGTATGCACTTTATAAATCCAGTTCTGAACGGTGCTGTAGAAATAAAAGTTAATCATGAAGGTTTCATCACATTCCAAGAAAGATTTCTGGACTCATTTAGGCCAGATGTGATCAGGATCAACCCTCATATTACTGCAAATAAATGGAAATGGTACACCTTAAACAGAAAAATAAAGTGTTTTCTAACAGAGGATTGTTTTTTAGTGTCAGTCTGCTGGAGACATAATGGCATTTCAAAATAAAACTGTTAGAGTCTTGTGAAAACAAAATCCTCACATGGTGCATCAGTATCTTCAGTTGAAGATGTTCACAAGATATTTTTCTGAACATTTAAACTTAAAGGTTAAAACTTTACTAACTTCAGTTTCTGCTTGAACCGATGGCCTGAATCAATTACACAATATGTTTGTTCAAATACCACATGGTCATTTCACTTAGCTTTTAAAACTTACATCTACTTACTGTTATTTGCCTTTATGGAACCAATATAACGAATCACGTAGACCTTATACTGTGGTTTATAATGTGTGGACAGCTGCAACAATCTCAGAATTTCTACAAGATTTAAAAAATAAATAAATAAACAAGAAATATGCGCCAAAAATCATCAAAAGAAACACTGGGCGCCTTATATTCATTCTTTCTAGACCAGATTCTGTATCTATATTCTGAATATAGCTGGTCTATGGGGTTATATTGTGTTTTCTGATTCTTAAATCTTTCCCTATTAAAGCTGCAGGAAACGTTGAGCATCATCCGACAGACAAAATGTAAAAAAAAAACTATAACACCGAATTTGATTTAGTTTAACCCTCAGCGTAAAATAAAGACCAGTGTAACAGTGTTTATCTGTATTAATTAAACATGTCGGTCTTTTTCTTGTCTATGTGCTGCAAGACACAGAAGTTGCAGATGAATTGTTAAGTTGGGGGACTTTTATTTTGGAAACGAGTTGTTTACACTGCGCATGTCATGATTTCAATGCGGAAGTGCTGAGAGGCTGCTGCTGAATCACACAGAGACAAAACAACGCGGTGTCTTTATTACATTTAAAAATGCTTTAATTCTAAACAGTGTAAACTCAGCGACAGTGTTTCCCAGCAGGCTAACATGGTGAGTGGCTCATATTTTATTTGATAGTTTAACGTTTTACAGTCTTAAAGCTTGTACACGTGCTAAGCTAAACCGAGCTAATGCAACTCAGCAGGTGAAGCTGAAGTTGTAGCTTCAATCATATTAATGCTGCTTTACTGTAACTTTACTGTAGCTTAAACAAAGGAGACATAATCAGATTTTACTTCATTTTAATTTGATAAACACTAATTATAACCAGTCGAATGTATTAGAATACAACACTGTTTAAAATGGGACCAATAATCTGATGTTTACAGCTTTCAAAATACCAAATAACCATTTAGCCCATAATACTATGATAAAAATATAAGTTATGAGGTAATAATATGGGGAATGTCTTTGCAAAGCTCAGAAAAATGGCAATAACATAAAAATAAATGCAGTACGTAATAGAATAGCAATAAGATATAAGTTAAGAAAAAAAAAAGTAAAAATAAATCTTGAATAAAAAAGTATCATGGCACTCATATTGAACCTTGGTTGTTGCTGCTATTATTATGATGGTAGTTATTGAGACTGGGTTGATTAATGCACTGGTAACACAATAAGTCTGATGTTAGGATCCTGAAACACTGGGGGTTTAGCCAAGTCTAGAAATCTAATAATATGCATGATACTTCTATAGCACTTCTCAAGATACCCACATACTTTACAAAGTAGGAAACAACAAAACAAGCAAAGACCCTAACTAACTAACTAAATAAATGGCTGGATGGAAACGAGCGTAAAGAAAAAGGAGAATCATGAGTTGTAGGCAGTGTTGAAAAGATACGTCTTTATGGATGTCTTGAATATTGAGAGCGAGGAGGATTCTCTGATGCTTTTGGGGAGTGAGTTCCACAGGGTGGGAAAGGCAATGGAGAAAGCCCTGCCACCCCAGGTCCGGTATTTGGACCGGATGGGGGTGGACAGGAGGCTAGTGTCGGAGTGTCCCAGTGGAGGAGTTCAGTCAGGCAGGGGGGAGCCAGGTTATGGAGAGCTTTGTAGGTGATCAGGAGGAGTTTGAAGTGGATTCGGGCAGCAGACTTTTGGATGTAGTTTAATATTTAGACTGATGGCACAATTTTGAAGTTATTTTAGAGTAACATGAATATAAAATGTGTGAAACCGTCTCCAGGCTGTCCATGCGCTGTTCAGGTTCCACATTCGTACGACGGTGAGAGCAGGCAGCTCTACTACTGGTTGTCAAATTCCATGTGACTTTAAATCAGTCTGATTTACGATGATGTGCAGCTGTAATCATGTGTAACGTTGTGAGAGTCGTTTGAGAATTACTGAGCCAGAGGTTTGTCAGATTTCAGCTGCAGTGAGACTGGTGTACCTTATAGGTTATTAATGCTCATTTTAATGTTTAAGAAGATTTTTTAATCCTAACTGAAGTGACTGAACCTTTAAATAGTGCAGGAGAAGAGACACAGGTGGAAAAAAGTTTACCCATAAAGTCTCACAACGTCATACTCTGAGTACATAATAACTACTAATAATTAGTGTTGCACCGAGCAGAGGTTTGCTTCCCCAAACTGACTTCATTAAAGCTTTATGAAATCTGATTTTAGTTCCACAAGTAAAAGTAGGTACGTTGTTTATGTCAGCATCATCCTAATAGTCTCTTCTCAAACCTTCCCTTTATGTGAAGGTGTTTTTGTAGCTTATTCTTCTTTATTATTTCTATTGTAGATTTTAGGTTTTACATGTCTTCTCATTCCTCCTTTACTGATAATAGATACACAACTTTGTCATGGATGTCGTTTGTGTTTATGTAATAGAGGATAGCGTCATAAAACATTTCTAAACTACTTTATGGATTTCTGACCAGCCAGGAGATTTGACTGGTTTATAAGGCAAACAACAAAAAAAAGCTGTTGATCCTGGATTCTGGTATTTATCCAACTTTCCCTCTCCCAGGCCCGGCAATGTCACTGCAATAAGTTGACTTGATGTTTTCTGTCAACTGTCTTTCCGTCTTCTAGGTCCCTTCAGACTTTAAATCCCTGATCCAGAGGTTTTATCATCTTCAGTCTGAGCGGGTGGAGACGTATCGACTCTTTGAAGAGTAAGTTTGACTCAAGTCATCCAGCTTCTGTGAAGTGACTTCACATAAAGGCACATTACGTAATTCAAAGCACCAGCGATCAGCCAGTAGGGTTGTTTCAGGACAAATACCACGACTGATGACTGGTAACGACGAAAGACCCAAAACAGATCATTGGAACCGATATACATTTAATGTTATATATTAGCAGCAAGTGATTGTCGGTCTCCTGCCATTCATAACAAGGTCACTTTATTAATGATGATTACAATCACTGAATATGTAAAATAGGAGTGATGTTGTCAGAGCGTCACATGACATTAAACAGTTTGTCTCCTGTAGTTCTTCTCTGTTTTGTTCATCTTTCTCTGTTTCACTTCTATTGCCAGCTAAGGTCCACATGTTAAAGCATTATTAGTTGTTGTTTTCCAGACACTGCTTTGCTTTAATCTGTGGCTGCCTCCTAACTAAACTCCTCACCATCGCAGGTTATGTCTCTGCCAGAGAGACATTTCTGTCAATTACAGCTACAAGTAGTCTTAATTTAGAGAAATGTTAGGGGAGCTCCAGACAGCGTTAGCCACAGGCCTGACAACAGGCCTGTTAGTGATCGCCCTGGCCTAGCACAGCCAACAAAGTAAGCTCCAGTCGCACTGACACTAAGTGAGTTATTCATGCATTTTCAGTGTAACAGCAAAACTGGACTTGCTGTGTAAGACTTGCTTTGTTTCTTACATCTTCTGCTACATCAAATTCAACACAGCTCAACAAATGCTCGTCTGTCTTTGTCTGTAAACAGCAGCTCTCAGTGTTGATTGGCTGTTACTTATGACATGTAACCTATTAGAAGGTGCTATGAGCCACAGAGAGAGAAACATGCATTAGATTTATTTTACTGGTAACCGGTTGATGAAATTAACAATACTGATAATCAGAACATCAGCCCTAATAATCAGATAACCGATAATCAGTCAGTCTCATACGGAGGACTCTGACAAGCCTGTCTCATGTACTTCTGCTCTTGTTTTGGCTGCTGAATGCCTTCCAGAGGACACGAGGCCTACTTGAGGACAGGGCCCCACTATGACTTCGACCACTACAGGCAGCTGGTCCATGAGATAACACAGGCCTTCTGCGGCATCTCCAAGGAAGTGCTGGAGATCAAGGGGAAGCTGCACCACGACTTTGACAGACCAGACCTTTCTGAGCACATTGAGAAGCTGCAGAGCAAAGAGAAGCAGAAACTTGAACTGGTAGGTAAACACTGTCTGTGTGGTTCATTTAAAAAGAAAAAAAAGAATCAGTGGAATATTATGTGCTTTGATTTAACCCTGGTCGACTGTGTTACGGCATAGTGGACCTCATACGTCACCTGCACATTTAAATAATGTACACTGGCTGTACAAGAACAAGAAGGTTTAGACTGAATCTATAGAGTTATGTACATACACAAAATCATCCTAGTGTAGAGAAACTAAGGAGACTTGCAAATAGTATTGTAAGGTGATTTCTAATTGATTTTTAATTAGATCCTGGAAAGAAAACAAAATCAAATTTCAACAAGAATATAAATTAAAGCTGCGAGCAGCGATGGACGGGTCCTCGCGGGACTCTGATCCGGCGTGTCGAGTTTCGGGCAGAAGGGAGCACGTGTGGCCTAGCTATGACCCACTTCCTGTTTAGTAGCGAGCGGCGTACGTGTTGGCAGTGGTGGAAGCGTGCTTTGGCTGAGACTGGGAGCGTGTGTGCAAAGTTTCAGGCCGATCGGCACAGATACAGTCCAATTACACAGCAAGTCTCGTTTTATGGCGTTTTGGCCAATTTCTGTGAGTCGCCATTTCACACTGTCGGAGTTTTGCTCAGCGTTTTAATAGGTTTTAATCACCACCTCCTGTACTTTGTGCTGGCCAAATTTCAGGTGTGTATGACCTTCCTGTAGGAGGAGATAGATTTTGACAATGGCCGAAAACGAGCGAAAATCATCAAAATTCGCACAGTTTTCTTTAAAATGGTGAACTTCCTGTTGGGTTTAGGGCTTGGCGCTAGTTGACATTTTTGTGCATCCCAACCTGCTACACATGCCCACCGAATTTTGTAGGTGTAGGTAAAACGACCTTCTGACTGGATTCTATTGAATGCCGCAAGCACAGTGAAAACGTTCAAAAATGGCCTTTCATCAAAATTGCACAGGCCGCCATTTCCACGCCGTCAGACTTTTGCGTGTTTTAATAACTTTTTATCACCACGTCCTGTAGTTTGCGCTGGCCAAATTTCAGGTGTGTACGACTTACCCACTAGGAGGAGCTAGATTTTGAAAATGGCCAAAAATGGCAGAGAATGAGCGAAAATGGCCCGTAATGCTCGCCGTTTTTCCAACATGGCGGATTTCCTGTTGGGTTTACGGAAACATGCTAATGGACTTTTTTGTGCGTCTCAAGCTGCTACATATGTGTACCGAATTCTGTAGTTGTAAATCAAACATAGGCCCAATGGGACTCTGTTGAAACATTGTAGGGGGCGCAGTTGAGCCGTGTTGCATTTCAGAGCTTGTTTAGACCTTCAAAAATGCATTTCAATGATCTGAACAATAAGAAAAAGAAGAATAAACCTATGGGACGCAATAGGGTCCTTGCACTAGTGTGCTCGGACCCTAATAACTGAAGAAAACAACAAATCTGTTAGAGTGAATATCTGATAAGTACATTTGTATTTTATGCATTTGTAAATTCACTTTATATTCTTTAGTGTTAATATCAGGATTACGTATAAACCAGTTAGAAGAAGGTCAGTTTTAGTACCTGCTGCCAGGACTAATGATGATTCAAAGAAATGCCGCCCACTGCAAGTCCTCTATGACGGTCACACGTTCATGTTTTTCTGCTGTTTCACCACAAGGAGGCAGAGTTCTGATGCAAAACATCCCACTGCTGTTCCCCAGCTGAGAGCAGATTGTACCACTGTCACGTTAAGGGTCCCGCATTTCTGTTTCTTGCCGGCAGTTCAACTTATAAATGTTTTACCACTAATGGAGGGAAAAACTGTGCGCGGCGCCTCTGATGGGGGAATATCTGGGGCTCTGAGCGTCGGCCGGACAGCAAACACTGATTCAGTTCAATTTAAATCACTCACTGACGTTTTAGTGGCTCTTTTTCAAGTCAGTTAATAGCTTGAATCAGATAAAATGCACCCGCCTCGCTGTGTCCTACATTCTCCAACGGCCACATTTTGTACATCTGCTGCTCAAGAAGTGAAGCTTTGAACTTTTGTATTAAATTTTTTTTTACATCCGTCTATAATATTAATTCCTTCTTTTTATCCAGAAACGTTACAAAGCTCCCGTTATCTCGAGAGCCGATCCTCCGTCTCCGCTCTGCTGATGAGTGGTTTGCATAAATCTTATCTGATGTGCCCTCTCAACAGACAGCCAAGCTGCAGCTGGCCAGGCAGCGGGCCCAGGATCACCCCGAGGACGAAGGCTGTCAAGAAAATATTCAGGAGATCAAGCAAGAGTAAGAGCAGCTATTACCACCCCTCCATTTACCGCGTTAGCTCCCCGCTGACCCACTCGCTCAGCCAGTCAGTCAGTCAGCAGATCTGCTGCTCAGAGGCTCGTGCGCTTGCTTACTTACTTTATCACAAATTCAAATCTATTCAGAAAATGTCATTTCCAAACACATTCGTCTGTGTTCTCCCCTCGTCCAGGATCATCAAGACCAAAGAGGCTCTGAGTGAAATCATGCAGGACTTTAAGTATGACTCAGAGGAGTGTGATTGACAGACGATTCCCGGGAGGGCCCCCCCGCGCTTGCCTCGCATCACGAGACGAGTCGAGCTGACGGGTCGACTCCGCTCCGCTGCTGCAACTTCCATCTTGGACTCCTCGGCTGCACTTATCGATCCCTCCCTGCCCCTCCACCCCCCTCCGGCTCCACCCCGCTCACTGCTGCAGTCTCATTCCACCCAAGGGGCTCTTCTGTGTGTTTCTATCTGGAGTCGTGTAGTTTGTGTTAACGCATGGCTCAGCAAAAAACAAAAGAGGAGAGAGAAAAAAAAAGGAAGAAAGCTGCTTGTGTTTAGTGATGAAACGTGTAAATAAAATACTCGCATTTTAAGAAGCTCTTTGTGATAAATTGTAATTTTTTTTACAGAATAAAGACACTTTTCAAAACAAGCTTTTACTTCTAACTAACTTGCGCCACTTTTTACATTATACACAGTGAAAGAATATAAGTTAAACTCAACATTCCCTTAAATATGCAGGTACAAAAATAAAAGCGGTTACAATCCTCTGAGCGGATACAGGACAGTCTGTACATGTGGAGGATGTCATTACTCAAACCAACATCTGCTGCAGTTTAGGCAAATTTGAATTTAAGTCATACTTCATGTCTGATTATTGGCCATTAATAATGCTGCAAATTTGCCGAGTTCTCCCCAAAGTGTTGCCTCGTGCTAATGTAATATTACGCGGATAATGATGAGCCATAAACTGTCATAAAAATGTAAATTTCACACAATGAGATTTGCTTGGAGAGCAAGTGTTTATCTTATATTAGCATAAAACTTTGAAGTGTTAAATTAACTTTTCAGAATAAATTTGCAGTTACTGATGGCCTGAGTATCTCATTGCCAACAGATCCAACCAACAGATTTCTGCTGCGGGAAAAAAAAAAAAAGGCTCACTAAAGTAATCTCCCATCCAGGCCCGTTAGTTGAAGCCTAACACTGCAGCAGTTGGACCTCTCACACAGCCGGGACCCTCTGGACCAGTTATCCCCTCAGTGTTTCTGGATGCTGCTCTCTCGAATTAAAACCACCACAGCGGTGCAGAGCGCCTCGGCTATGAGTTATCGTCTTGTAGAATCTGAAAAGACAAAAGCAGATGGTTCTTACTGGGATGATTCACAAAGAAAAGCCTCCGTTATCTCCTCTAATCACCACCAGCGCTCTGCACGGCTGACACTTTTTTTTTTTTCCTCCCTCTGTGCCTCTCTTTGCATCATCTCTTTCTTATTCTCCGTGGAGCTCTCTCCCAGCCCCCCTTGCTTCCTTTTCTCTCAAAGTAATCAATGGGAACCTGTCACACTTTGTGAGCAAAGACATTATTCATGCGACAGCTTACCCAGTATAAAGCCCCCGAAAAAAAAAAAAAATCCACAGACTGCTGAGCTAATTGAGTCAGGTAGACCGAAGGTTTCTGCGAGTTCAAGGACTGAGCGGCCCAAGGATGTGAACTGTTTCACAAAGTCACATAAACACGGGAGAAGATCCTGAGGCTTTTCGTGTGCCATTTGGCCCGAGTTATGTTTCTGAAAGGGGATCCTGACGCCGAGAGGAAACAAAAGGGAACACTGTTAATTGCATTTACATGTTCATCTCTCTTTGTTGTGGTCATCAGCTGAGGAGCAGAAGTCCCCTCATTAAAATATGTAATAAAATCAGAGTGCTCGTCTACTTTTATGCTCAAACTTGTGGGCCCGTAAAGTCTAAACCGCACATTTTGACCTGATCATAAAGGCTGAAACTTCCCAGAGCCATCTCAGGAACACACAAAACAAAAGGAGCTGACCATATGGCACAACAAAAGGCAGGGTCAGGGAGATCAGCTTCAGGACACGGATGCAGCGGTTTGTTGTGTGTCTGGTGTTGGCGGACGGAGGGAGGTTGTGCTTACCTACCTGGTTGCGCGCTTTGTGTGATTTCTGCTGCCACACCCGCCACTGGTCGTACAGTTTGATGGACATGCCGCTGCAGCCGTACGCGTGCTTGCGGACCCAGCCGAAGAACTGCTTGAGCTCCCGCCGCAGGGTGGAGTTCTGCTCGCCGGGCTTCGGATCGCACGAGCTGCTCGGCTGCCGCTCTGGGAGGAGGAAGAGGAAGAGGAGGAGGAGGAGGAGGTGAGACAGAAAGGGGGAGGATGGGAGAGCAGCGTCAAGGTTACACTGATGGGATGAGGAGATGTATAGATCAGACTGCTTACGAGGTGATGTGTCAGCACACACGAGACGCATGTGTTTCCCCTTTACTGGCAATTTAGAAAACATCATTTGAATACATTAGGGGAGTTCATGACGTTGTGAGCACTGTGCAGTAAAAACAACACGATTAAAAACAGCAAACATCTACATTATTAATACATCGCATGGCTGTTTATGCTTCATCCCAGGAACGCTGCTCTGTGTTGGATTTGGTTCACTGTAATTTTGCACTAAAACTCTAATCGTTGTAAAACTTTAAAAATGCTCTTTTACGCATATATTTGTAGTTGTACACGGTAAACACATTTTCCTTAAGTAATCCCTTGTGTGAATGTTTTATTTTGTAAAAGCACAGAAAACTCAAGAGTCAGATTTCTAATATCTTGGCCAGTAAAGCTGAGTCTGATTTTTATGATCATGTCTTTTCCCGATTTATGTTTCAAGAGTCTTTATGGCTCGATGTACATGACTGGTGTTACCTGAAGGTTGTACATCTCAGAAACTTTTCTCAAAAAAACATGGACGTCTCAAGGACAGCAGCAAAGATTTTGTAAAGCAAAGAGCACACTGGAGGGAAATACCATGTATGTCTTCACAGACTCGGCCAATAAAGCTGATTCTGATCTTTTTATAAATCTATGATGTTCCAGATTTAATTATCTTAATCACTATTTAACTGATCGCCATGAAATTTTGCAGGATGAAATAAAGCAACTCGACTTGTCTCCACCAAATTGCCGTTTGTCCAGTGTTCTCTTTAATTTATGGTGAAGACTATTGATGTTCCCATGAACCAGCTGTGCTGCTTGTAGCTCGGTGCTAATTGGCACGTTAACATGCAAAAATACTGTGTGCTGTCAATGCAGCTTAAAAAAATAATAATAATGTTGAAGCAGCATCATCACATCACAATCAGATGTTAATGAAGCAAGTGTGCTGTAATTAACATATGATTGATGTCTCTTTTTAAGGCTTTTGATGTCGGTTTTTTAGGCTTAATTGGCTGAACGTTCAACAGTATATTGTACATGTTGCATTATTTTATGTTCTGGTGTGAAATATGTTGTTATTTTTCTACATAAAACAGCAAAAACAGAACGCTGTGAATATGAATTTTTTCTCTTTTCCTTTTGTGCATGTTTTTTTTAAATATATATTGTTATAAAACAAAAAAATGTAAAGCTACACTGATTGCACATGACAAATTGTTCAATAAAAGGGGAAAAAATTCCAACTTCGGTGGCATTTTGGAGCTCAAACAACCTCACAAGAGATGCTACAGTTGGTTTTCTATTCATCCAATTAATGTTTAGCCCATAAAATATCAAAAGAAGTGAGAAATATCCGTTACAATTTCAGAATTTTTATTGCAGTCATCAGTCTTTTCCTGAAACCGGTTCTCACACGCTCTGGTGCCGCATTAGAAATGAATTCAATAGAGACAATTCTGCATGTGTCATTAACTTGGAGGGGAAAACGAGCTCCTCAGTGAATATTTATGATGATTCATGTTACTTAATTTCCCGAAACTGATTCTGTAAACATGTTTCTCAGTTTGAACTCCTCAACTGTGGAGCTGACATCCAGCATTTGGCTGCTTGTGGAGAATTCTGTTGTCTGCCACAATCAATTCTTGCTGTCAAACAGCAGAGCCTGATAACAACTTCCTCCCTCTGGGGGAGTAAAGACCGCATAACCTATGTAACTCATTATCTGCTCCCAAACCTGCTTCCACTCAGGCTTTATAGGGCCTTCGTGTGCCGCAAACAGACGAGCAGCTTTTTAACTTGATCAATCTTTGAAGCCCGACGACCGAAATCTATCAAATGTCCCTCCGGCTCTCTGCAGCTCCTTCTAATCCTCTGCTCGGAGATCTCTATCGAGGTATCTGGCCTATTGATGTTTAGTCTCTTCTGGGTCACATGCGGTTTGGATCTTTTTGTTCCGGATGCGGATAAGGACGTTGTTTTTCTGACTTTAAATAGCAATGAAAGGTTTGATTATTAGAGAGGAAGGGACGGTCAAGATTTGTGGCCATCAAGGAAAGACTTTGACTGAACATTTGGTGGGTTTTGTGTTGCCTGTTGAGAAAACACAGTCTCCAAAAAGGCAAATTCAGACTCGTGGGTTTTACTAGTGAACGTATGACACAAAATCTCTGATGTTTGGGAGGTTTTTGGAGGTGGAGTGTCCTCTGTAAAGTACGTACCGCTGCTGGGTGTGGAGGCGGCGGTGGGGTGGCTCCAGTCGCTCCAGATTCCAGCCTTCCTGGAGCCGAAGATGCCGACCGGGTTGCACCTCACTTGGACGAAGTAGACCGTTCCAGGCTGGAGGCCCGCCAGCCGACACGACGTCAGATTACCGACGTCATCCACCACCTGAGAGAGGGAATAAAACGACAGAGTTCTGCAGGAGAAGTCATCATCATTCTGCAAAATCATAAAAAACCATCTCCAGTGACAAGAAGAACAAGGACTCCTGTAAGAGATGGTTTAGCTCCTCTGATTTCACCATCATAGAGTCAGTCTGGGATCACATGAAGAGACAGAAAACACTGAGACACACTAAATACTCAGTATGTTCTGTTTCTGG